TTTTTTTTGCCGTTTGTTTTGCAAAAATTGCACTCTTTTAGTTCATAGTTATGTGACAATGTATACATATGTTTTAATTTTATTTTTTATTCTAAATTTGGTGAAGAATTTCGATGTGACCCTGCGACAAAAGTTGTTCAGTTTATTTTTCTGCATAACATAGTTTTTTTCCGGATTTTTTGGAAGCTTTTTTTTTTTTTTTTTTTTTTTTTGCTGGGACCTTTCCTGGTCCTTGCACGGGCTGGCCACCGGGGACCCGGGCGGACCGGCTGGTAGCCTAGAGTGGGACGTCGCCCCAGAGATCCCATGTAGGTCCTACTTAGGGTGCTAATGGAACTACACCATTCCATATAGGGAAGGGAAAAAAGGAAAAGGGAAATGGGAACAAAAAAAAAAAAAAACACAGCAGAAACCCCAAGTTCTAACTTGGCAAAGCGTTCCTCGACCTAGATAAGGTCTCTGGGGCGAGGTCCACTACCTTCTTCCCCCGAATACAACGTATGGTCATTATAGCTGTATTTGAGGCATCTTTCAGTCGAGATACAGCCATAATGATCGTACGTTGTATTCGGGGGAAGAAGGTAGCAAAGAGGATTGGATTTGAGTTCATTTTTAACACCTGAATTGGGACATGTTTGTCTGGAGACATGCAGAAAACCGGAATTGATCTGCTTTCCTGCATCTCTGCATAAAACACATCCAGATTCAGGCACTTAATTATAAAGGTAGACGACGCACAGATGCGGGTGACATTTTAAAAGATTCAAAATTCCGAAAATGGTTAAGTTGCTCCTTGTTGTGGGACAACTGTTTTAATGGGGATTTTTATGGCTCTTTTTGCAGCATTTTTGGTGATTATTTTAGAAATTTCAAATTTATAATCCATCAATATTGTTAGATGATATCTCAGTTAGTTGGGCAAGTTCAGTTATTGCAAGCAGACTTTCATACCTGTAGTATGGCCTCAGGGAATCACTTGTCGGGCAGTCGTTGATGCTTAACCACAACCGGGGTTAAGGTGGATTATCACTTACAATGTAATCAGTTAGGGGATTCTGCAGACTGTAGAGGGTTCAGCCTCCTGATGAGTTGGTGAAACTCCGACAAAACAGTTTGTCACAGCCCCTCATTTGTTGTCCTCTTCTCCCTTTTGTCCCTCTCTGCCTGCCGACGGTTTGCCATTACCAGGCAGCTCTGTTTGACGATATATATGGAGAGAGAGAGAGAGAGAGAGAGAGAGAGAGAGAGAGAGAGAGAGAGAGAGAGAGAGAGAGAGAGAGAGAGAGAGAGAGAGAGAGAGAGAGAGGGAGAGAGAGAGAGAGAGAGAGAGAGAGAGAGAGAGAGAGAGAGAGAGAGAGAAGGGAAGAGAGAAATTGACCATGTGACATTTGTAAAACTTTTGTACGCTTTCTTGATTTCCTCATTTCAAACTTTTTTGCTGCTATTGATGAAAAGATTGTACCTTTCAATGAAACCACACCCGTACTTGGGCCAGCTATCGGCCGTGCAAAAAAAATAAAAATAGAGTACAAACGTTTCTAGTTGGATGAATTTGGGCGCTCCTGTAGTGGCCCGTACATTTCCTAAAATTGTGGCTTGTTAATGGGCACAACTTTAGGAAGAACTGGTGGTTTAAGAGTATTTAAAGATTCTTTGGCAGCATACATAACTTGTACTGTTATGATCTTATCTGAGTTATCTCATTAATTCCATTTTCTCATGCAATTTATTTTTCTGTGTTTCTTTTTATTTTACTTCTTACGAAGCCCCGAATTTTCTTTAATTCGTTTATTCCATCTGCCTCGTTGCTAGTCGTGGGACCTAGCCCCTAGGGCACGGTTCCACTACCTTCTTCCCCCGAATACAACCTACGGTCATTATAGCTGAATTTAGACTGAAAGATACACCAAATTCAGCTATAATGGCCGTATGTTGTATTTGGCAGAAGACTGTAGCACACGAGTAGTCTAAAATGTCCGCAGAAAACACCTGTGAGACAACTGGGGGAAATGGCCCGACTGTTGATGCAGGAAAATCGGATGGCAGCAAAACCACGACGGATTTATACTTCAAAGTTGTGTTCTTATTTTGTTTTTGTTCTTTTTCCTTTTATTTGCGAAGAGTGGGAGGCGGAAAAAAGAAACAGAAAGACTCTTGTCGTGGCCGCACCTCAAACGAGAAAAGAAAACTCAAGTACTGGAAGGGGTTGGTATTGACCTCCTTTTTTTCTTTTTTTTTTTCTTTTTTTTTTTTTCCGGTCTATTGCAACCCCATCGAGTAGTTCATTTTTTTACGGCAGAATACAACAAGAATGTGCACGCTTCAGTATGGCAAACCGTCACTTTAGTCATCCCATCCCCTCCGGCACACAAAGGGTCTTGGTCACAGGAATCATCGGGTAGAGCTTCTATCCCAACAGCCCAGTGAAGCAATGAACCTACTCTGGCTTCATTGGGCCTTGGCGGGTGGCATGAATCTGGACGTTTTCTGGGGGATGGGGCGGAGGTGGGGAGGGCAGGACGGGTGAGGACAGGTGAGGGTGCATGAACCAAACATTACCACTTTTTCTTC